TTGTTAGTCGTGACTGATTTCAGTGGGACTGAAATACTGTTACCTTTGTTTGGATCTAATCCAACCCAATACATACAAGGAAATGTCAATTTGGGAATATGATTTTATTGTGTTATGTTAATTTCATGACTTGCAGTAAAAGAAAAAATAACACAATGTAACACGTTGTGACACTGTAATACTCTTCAGGAAAAAAAACCAAAATGTTTTAATGTTTACTGAACATGTATTTAGTGGAACTATATAATCAAATGTTTTTGATCAACTAAATGGTTAAAGAAAAATTTATAATCTCTGCGATAATGAAATTATTTGGGTGTCACTGTATTTGAAGATACTAATCAACATACAATAGAGCTTAGTATATAATTCAAATAAAAATATAGATAGTATATTTAATATTTTCAAGAGTTTCAAAGCTGCAGTTATTTAACTGATAAAAATAATATGAACTTAAGTGTTTTGCACATTCCTCAATTCAAGTATTTTTTTTTTGAAGTAGTGAGTATAACAGGTAATAGCACCACTTTTACTGATACAGAGTAGGATTCTATATTTCACAATCTCCACGCATACCAGTAGTTCTTTTATCAAGATTGTACAGAAAACAATAACTTATATGAATGAAAAATGAAATCAATACTACTATCTTAACATAAACACTCATTAAATAACCCATGATTATAATTTTAATTTTTACTCCAAATCAACTACAAAATGAAAAATTATTTTTAAAAGGTAATAACTTGATTTTGTAATTTTTTCCTTTCCTAATATTGAAACTTGATATAAGTAGTATCCATAAGTATAGAAACTGCTGGGATTTTGCATTCTTTTTAAAGAGGCATAACATTTGAAAATTGGAGATCTGAAATATTTAAAAATTTATCAATTTCCAAATGATAAAGGCCCCCATTGAGAACTGTCTTAAAGACAGTTAAAGTTAATTACTATTTTAAATTAATTAAAAATTAAACATCTAATCTATTTCCACTGATGAATATTATATTTAGATGATATATTATTAGATCAACTCTCATAGTTTGTGGTTCCTTGTGATCCAGTTTAGGTAGATGGTAACTGAAAGAAATCTAAACTACATAAAGGCATACTAAAATGGAGTTATAAAATAGATTTTTCCACCATATATATTTGTTCCAGTAGGGCTTTTAAGAGGGACTCTCATTGGATTACAGCTTCCAACTTCTTACACATTCCTGCATGTGTAAACACATATGAAAGAAAAAAAAATATGTATTGATCAGTTGTGCTAATCCAATTGACCTCTCAAGCTACTTCAAAACAACTGACGTCACCATCTTTGGAAACTTAAAAATATCACTTTTTCATTCTCTTGGCTTTTTTCAATATGTCACATTTTTTTCTATTTGGGCGTCTGCATCGCTCATCAATGCTTGGTATACATTCATAATGCCAAACTTCATCCATCTTTTCAACAGGGTAAACAGCTTCAACATAATGGCGGATGAGCCTCAGTCTGACGGGATCGAGCTGCTTCTTGTTACAAGCCCCCGAATGGTTGTATTGCAGTCTGAGGTTATCTGAGGTAAAAAGCTCTGGAAAAAGCCTTACCAAGAGGCGGGCAGCGAAGTTACCAACTGAAAGGCTTTGTTGCACTATTTCCCTTACCTCTTTATCAGACAGCAAATATAGAGAAGGCACAGAGAAATCTGGCGGAGGAACAATAAGTTCCTCGAGTGGT